ACAAAGACCTACTTTATACTATGATACACACAAGAACTGGCGAACCAGCAAGCTAGTCCTTTTTTGTCTCCAAAGTGTTTTTATAATAAACTTTCCTTCACATGTTTGTTCTTTGATAAAAACAAAGACCTACGCGGTGTGTTTTTTTTTCTCATAGAATGAACTTTATACTATGATACACACAAGAACTGGCGAACCAGCAAGCTAGTCCTTTTTTGTCTCCAAAGTGTTTTTATAATAAACTTTCCTTCACATGTTTATCCCTTGATAAAAACAAAGACCTACGTGGTGTGTTTTTTTTTCTTTTCTTATAGAATGAACTTTAAATTAAAGATGTGTCGGTTAGAAAATGACGTATCTCTAAAGATAAATATTTAGCCCTTGAGAAATTCAAATTAAAAAAAAAAAGCTTAATCTCTTATTCTCCACACACGTGTAGGTTAAATTGAACTTAAATCTCTCTAAATTACGGACATAAAATTCAACATTTACTTTAATAGTAACACTTATATTCTTAAAAAAAAAATACAGGCTATAAGAACATAACTTGATTTATTTTATTATAGATAAATTTGTTAAATTATCCTTGCGTTGCTCAGCTCATAAAGTGTAGAATTAAAACGAATCCAATAAAAAAATTTGCATAAAAAAGACAACAACAAATGTTGAAAGTATAACGATGAAATTTTGATATAAATGGCTCAAAGCGAAGATAAATCAGCCTATCGCGAGTTTCAATTCATTTTCCTTTACTGGAGGCTTTTAAAGTTGTGCATTGAATTATTTAAAACACGGAAAGCACTTTGTACAAATTCACGAAAAAACAGTAATAACCCACCAGTGACCAGTTCTGACAGGCCAAGCTTTTCATTCCCAAAGGTCGGAGTAACTCTCAGTATCTAGTACGTTCAGGTCAGAGGGGTCAAAGTTCAATAAAGACATTTAGAGTGCAAAAACTAATTTAGCATGTTATTATGATATTGTTGTTGTTTTATTGTGTTAATGGTTTCTAACTTCAGAATTTGATATTTTAAGGTTTTGGAGGTGATCACTGTGAGTTTGAATACGACGAGTGTGACTCAAACCCTTGTATCAATGGAGGGGCATGTGAAGACCTGGTGGCTGGTTACAAATGTCACTGTGGTCCAGGCTACCAGGGCAGACGATGTCAAATTAAAGTTAACCTTTGTAACCCTAACCCTTGCCCTAGTCCAGCTCAGTGTGTCGACAAGGGTAACAACTACAGCTGTATCTGTAATTCAATATATAATGGTATGTCTTTAGCATATTCATATAACCTCATCCAATCAGCTGTCACTTTCGGCATAATTATAGTGACTGTTGTTGTTGTTTTCAACAAGAATTGATGAATATTGTGTTTTGTTTAATAAATTAGATTTCAACGTGCTGGATGAAATACTTAGGCCTAACGTTACCTTGAGATTTCATTGCGTACCAATACTTTAAGAGTTCCATATATGTGTGTATTATACGTGTGTGTGTTATATTTACAGTGATGAACTTCGAAGATCACAAAATTGGTTCAACTTAACCAGTCTTGTGTAACTTAATTGAAACGTACAAGTCATGTATCCTATCATAAGAACTGAAGAGTGGAGGTTATGTTTCCCCTATACACATATAACTGTTTATATACATACACACGTATTTTAAACAACATAATAATTGATAACACAAGTGTGTAGCACCTAAAATATGTGTTTTTACAGCGTATCCAATTCACCAGGACATTTATAACAAAGATAAAGTAATTTTAATCCTATGTCCATCAACTAATACAACACAATCCCAACTTCAATCCCAACTGGCCTGGTATGGTGTTTTGGGCATTCGACTCGCAATCTTCGGGTCACGGAATCAAGACCCCTTTCAGCTGTGATAAGTATGTGAATGATAAGGGCTGGCTTTAAGACTTCTTTTAAATTTATTTATTAATGGTTTTAGTTTAGTTTAAAGGATGGAACAACCGAGATAGACCAATAGGTCCCATGTTGTCCATAAACGTTATATTATTGGAGAAATATTTGTAAACCACTTGTGACGTAACTTGATTTTAAAGGATGGAACAGCCGAGATGGACCAATAGGCTCTATGTTGTCCATAACGTTATATTATTGGAGAAATATTTGTAAACCACTTGTGACGTAACTTGATTTTAAAGGATGGAACAGCCGAGATGGACAAATAGGCTCTATGTTGTCCATGAACGTTATATTATTGGAGAAATATTTGTAAACCACTTGTGACGTAACTTGATTTTGACGCATGTTCAACAGTAACTTGCTTCAAAAATCACAGTTTCCTTTTATTGCGTGAACTTTAAACCTTCAATTTCACGACACCTGACCCTAAAAACAAATTATAGGTCTTTACTGTTGTTGTTTTTTTTAAATCGTCAAAAATTTTTACTTTAGAAATTAGAATTCCTTATACGCTTTTCATTATAAAAGATATTCTTTATCACAATAAAAGCCGCACATAGTAAGTAAAAGGCACATTCTATGCGTAGTTCCGCGGTAAAGTTCCATTTCTTGTTTCTGTAGCTATACGTTTCGCTTTGACTTAAGGAATACAAATTCTACACGCAATCAAATCTGTCAAAGAATGAAGAAGATTGGCTTATTGTACATAAATTTAACAGCACGGAAATACGCAGAAGTCAACAGTATTTCTAGTTTAAGAAATGTAATAATTGTATTTATTGGTTAGATTTATGACCATGGAAAACATTTTGTTTGTTTGTAGTTAATCGCAAAGCTACAAAATGGGCTATCCATGCTGTGCCCACAAATCGGACTTAACGCTGAGCCACTGGGCGAGGGCAACATTGTAGTAGTGCTCAAATTAATAAATCTCGAGAAAATTTACAACAGTATAAACATAATTATTGTTAGTTAAAGAGAGGTTCAATACCCAATACAGGCTCTCGCTTACTACCTTAAAAATTATGTAAAAAAAACAACAGAATGTTATTTTATAGTTCCTTAATAAAACAGTTCACAGAAAGCTCTTATACTTGTATAGTTAGCATAATAAACACACTACACTTGCTGGTGTATTTCGTAGAAATTTTACATACTAAAATGATCAGCTTTTTTAAAGGTTTCAATGTTTATATGAGAGTTAAAAATGATTTATTTATACTAGACGGTTTAGCAGAACCTTTAATGGTAGACAATGGCACTTTTCACTGTTTCTAATGTTACATATATTCTTAGTTTTGTTTGTTTTAGAGCAAAGCTATCTGCTTTGTCCACCGCGGAGAATCGAATCCCGGATTTTAGAGATGTAATTTCGTAAACTTACCGCTGTCCCACCGAGGGACATATTTAGTGTAAGGAGGACCTTGTAATTTATAATAGCAGGAGGTGGAAAGGTAATAATCCCTTGTTCCGTATCACTTCAGGAACAGACCAATCAGAGAAGCCAACAATTATATCACTTTCCATGTTTACCACTACAAAGATGTTATTGTGGCGTCCTCAGGTGTCTTTCATACGACTGAAGGATATCACTTTCCATGTTTACCACTACAAAGGTGTTATTGTGGCGTCCTCAGGTGTCTTTCATACGACTGAAGGATATCACTTTCCATGTTTACCACTACAAAGGTGTTATTGTGGCGTCCTCAGGTGTCTTTCATACGACTGAAGGACTACTTGAAAAATGTATTTAAAAAGCGAATTGTATTTCAATTTTGGAACACCTAAAGAAGAAATTTAAAAATAGTCTAGAAATATGCAACATTTCGGTTCTGGAACATCTAAACATTTAAACAGTAAAGTTAGAAATAGACTAGAAACTCGTGGCATTTCAAATGCTCCTCATTTTCATAAATAAGTCAACAGATGCAAGGAAAACGTACGTAATAAACACTTTTGGAATTGATCTTTCAATATAAAGTCTATAATTTGTTTAATGTTTAATCCACAGGAGCAGGGTGCACGCAACATTACAACCCATGCTTTCCTAACCCTTGTCAGAACAGTGGGAGCTGCTGGCCAAGTCTCGATACATACTTCTGTTCCTGTCGCCCTGGTTACACAGGGAATCTCTGCGAAGGTTAGTTAAGTTCTTTTAAACATGAAGCTGAAGAAGAACCAAGGAGATGAAAAAAAATATGTTTCTTATACTTCAAGTTCAATCATAGCATGGATTCTTCGTTCAAATAAATAGGAATTTGTTGCTTATTTTAAAATACTTCAGTGATACTTTTGTTTTGTGAAATTGGAGGATTATTCAAAAAGTAAGTAACGCTATGGTATGGAGATAATTAAACCTGAGTTACAATGTGTTACTGGAGGGTAGTGACGTCATGGACACTGTTACATAACATAAGTTACAGTAAAAGCATTTGAGGTCTAAAGAAAAGCGACTATTGTAATATATTATACATCGATTTCAATTCAAAACTATTACCTCCTTGTCAAGAGAGAGTGATTAGATGCTTTTGTCACAATGCACTAGACGGCAGCAGCTTACATTGAACGATGCCACTAGTGACTGCGTAATTAGCATAAATTAATATAATAACTGCATAATTTACCTAATATATTATTGTTTAATATTCTTAAAGATGTTTACATCTAAAGGGTCTGGATTAAGAAGGGGTCTGCTCAATCACTGCTACGTAATGAATTAGGGGTGTTACGACATGTGTTACAAAGTGTTATTGAGGGGGGAAGGGTAAAAAAAGGGAGAAAAGTTGCGTTATGTAATTTTTGAATGACCCCCTTAGGTAAGACACAATATCAAAATAAATCACGAGTTTATTCAGTCTTCGAGTCACTTTTTGTTTTGTTTTTTATTTCAATGATTCAAAGTTTGAAAGATGCAAAGTTTTGTTAGCCTTTTAATATATAATTTTAAAAGTATTTTTGCATAAAAAATTAATAATTCGTTTCGACAAACAATATAAATATTTGAAAAAATTGAAAGGTAATTGTGGATAAAACCTGTAAGTTGGCCCAGCATGGCCAGGTGATTAGGGCGCTCGACTCGCAATCTGCGGGTCGCGGGTTCGAATCCCCGTCACACCAAACATGCTCACCCTTTCAGCCGTGGAGGCGTTATAATGTGACGGTCAATCCCACTATTCGTTGGTAAAAGAGTAGCCCAAGAGTTGGCGGAGGGTGATGATGACTAGCTGTCTTTCCTCTAGTCTTACACTGCTAAATTAGGGAAGGGTAGCGCAGATAGCCCTCGTGTAGCTTTGCGCGAAAGTAAAACAAACAAACCTTTAAATTATTATTTTTTGGTTTTATTTGTTATTAAGCACAAAACTACACAATGGACTATTGGTGCTCTTCTGCCGGATATGAAAACTCGATTTTTAGCGGGGGGGGGGACGTCATTATTTTTTGTTGCTGTTTTAAAGCAATGCTATATTATGTTATGTTATTGGTGTTTAAGAACTCTTTTTTTTCTTCCCCTCATTCCTGGCCTGTTGTATGATCACTTACTACAAAAGTACGATCGCCAAACGTCATTAGTTATGGATGACTGATTTAATTGTTTTAAAACCACATTTCTTTTCTTCTAGTACAAGTCCTGTATCCATCGAAATCATTGGGACGTACCCTTGAAGACGCAGCAGGATATAAAAAAGATGACACACTCGTGGATTCTGTGAACGTGCCGTTGGATCATCTCCACAATATTTACATCGCCGCAGCCACCCTGGCTGGAGCCTGTTTGATTGTGGTGTTCGTAGTAACCGTTTGTCATTGTCGAGTCCATAAGACTTACCAAAGACTCTTTACTGGCAGCTTACATGGCGATATGTGCTCTGATGCCAAGCGTCTGAGACGGTGAGTCGATGGCGCGATTTGTTTGGTTTTAATATTAGTGAACCCCCACCCCTTTCCTTCCAGAGTGTAACATATATCAGTAAGGGGGTGTACTGGAGGGTGTGATTAAAGTTTTCCTCCCAGTTTATCTATTGGATGTTATTAACTGTAAAAGTTTTGGAAAAAAATTAACTACATTAGATATTCACTAAATGCATCATACAGCGTTGTTAGCATGATTTAGTGAGTCCCACCCACGTCTTTCCAAAGGAAACCTTTAACAACAACAAAAAAAAAGAAACTCGACAGTTTAGGGATCTCAAATATTTGCCGTCGGACGCTATATGGCTTCGTTGTCACTGCCAAGAATTTAAGGCAGAATAAAACCAAAAGTACACATTAGGGAGCAAATAATTTAAAGTGTCCTTTTTTTTTCCATCGAAATACTTCTTAAGTATAAGATGTTTTATTTGTATTTTTGTTTGTTTGTTTTTAAAAAAAAGAATATAATCATGTAGGACAAAGGCTCCTTTTTGCCCTTAAGTGGTATTTTCACGAGTCTAGAATTTTAAATAGATAAATACAAAAGTGACTTTCTTAATGTATAAATATTCATTTTCTCATTAAAAATGCCATTAATTAGTTCAGTATATTTGAGACTTTGGAACTGAATTTGAATTTCTAGTCTTAGTTTCGAGTTTTCTAAAAATTTTTCACTAAGAGCATTTGGTTATTTGTATTTTGGTAAAATACGTGATGTAATTTCTAAAATCTTAAGCCTTGTTTTCTATTTTTTCTTAGTGAAGACCCGGACAGATTTTTACTGAGCCTGCGTGGTAGCGTTTCTAATTTGCGTCCTTGTCCTGACGGAGTTTACGAGGCCACAACCATTGACCTGTCCGAAAATCTTGATCGGCCACTCATCGATTCATAGACTTTCCACTGTATCTTGCTTTCCGTCTCATTTTTCGTCCTTAATCCTGTGATGACGTCACATCCATTTAACCAGCCAGTGAAAGTATTTTATCGTATAAATAGTTAATAAAAAAAATCTCATAAGTCAAATGTTTTATGAAACTGAGCTAAAGGTCACTTTTTTTTAACCCAAAGTGATTTCAACTATATTTTAAATGTTAACACAGACGACAGTTATTAATTCACTGGTTTTTCTCTTCGACTTTAACTTAGTAGAACTTTTCAACACCGCAGAAGTGACAAATGATTTGTTTTAAACTTGCCATCAAGAAATCGTAACATATTCCATTCTTCTTCTTTATGGGCTAGTAGTATCTGAAAATATTTAAAGATACCTTTTCAATATCCGACCTAGATGTTGTATCGTTGTTGTTATTCTTGTTGTCTGGTATATATTACCAATATTGTCTATAATCTTTAACCCACACTTGTATGGATGCCCTTCATGGACTCCAAGACCTTTGTCGCCATTAGCTACTATCTTAGACTAAAAATTATTCTTTTTTTTTTTTTTTTTTTTTGGTTTACGGTTTTGGCCAATAATTAAATTTTTTGTTTTTATTGCAAAATATCAAAGTGTTCTAGGTTGAATTATTGTATACATTTAGTAAAATAAATTAGCAGCAGTCCTAATAAGATAAGTTTCTCAAAAAAAAACACCATTCTCAGGAAATGTTCCCTTTCTAATGAAGAAGAGATATCTGCGGTTTGTTTTTCATTATTTAATTTCTGTAGTGCATATTGGTGTATAGAAGACATATTAATACTAGAAATAAACAATTTATAACACCAGAATGTTGTTTTTATTTAATTAAACACTCATCGTTTCGCTTTATAGCTTCTTCATTTGAAGCTCTGTACTGTCCGTTTCAGTTTGTGTTTTAGTGAACGTTCCTGAAGAAGCTGTGAAGCAAAACGTTGAGTGTTTGATTAAATAAAAACAACATTTTGGTGTTATAAGTGCGTTTATTTCTAGTATTAGCTGTTTGTTCTTGTTGCAAAGTAGATTTTGTGGATGAACTTTGGTACTTTAAGAGATAACGATTAGAGATTCGTCAGATAGAACACGTGACTTAGCTTGAGTTAAGATATGTTAGTTTGGTTCATGTATATAAACAAATATGTTTTAAAAATCAGTTACCTTGATTGATTTCTTATGTTCGTGTAAAACGGGACTGTTCGGCTAACAAACTACTTTGTACCTGGGGAACAAACTTGTTTTTAACGGTAGAAAAAACAAACAAACAATAACTTAAAAAAAAACAACACTTTGAAACAAACGAGTCACTTGTATTAGGATACGTTGGGTGTTTGTAAATATTAAAAATCGCTTATTACCTTGATTATGGTAAGTAAAAACAGTCAAACATGAGGTAGAAAGTTACAATGACACATTTCTGATTTAATAATCAACCAATTTTAGCGTTTCATAAATCATGTTTCACAGAAATGTTATTTATTAAACCATGTTTTGGAATTTTATATTGTAGTAATTTTAGAAGCATTTCTTATCCTTGCTTTTTTTACACGCTTTGCGATATGATACTTTTCAAATAAATTATTTGAACAACTTGTTTTCTCTGTATACTGTGACATATTTGGAACGCATGGTTATCAAGCTGTGTTTATCTCAAGTGGTGGGTCCACCACGTGTTGTTCATCGATAATAAAGTGTTGTTATTATTGTGTTTAGTTTCTGAAGAGTTCTTTTTTTTAAAAAAAAAACCTTTTCCCTTGGTAAAATCTCAAGGAATAAAAACTTAGGAAAAGTATATTGTGTGTTATTTTTAAATACATCGTTCTGGTGTTTCATGCAGATAACGGGAGGTTCGCTCAGGAAGTGTATCACAGAGTAAATATTGATTCTGACTTTAACTGACTTCGAGGGAAGAAACTAAACTCAATGTCAACAAAATGAAAAGTAATCGTTATTTATTAACCCCTTCTGTGATTTTCCCGGAATAGCTCGGGCGCCCTCCATGTTTCAAAAGTATTTGCCCGAATTTATTCGCATGTTATAATCTATTACAATCAGTGCTCGCTAGATGGCATTGAAGGTGCTGTTTTTTATGCTGAGCTCTATCAGATTTATTCTGAATTATGTGTCATAAACATTAGAGAAAATCATTCCTATTATTTACTGTAGTATCAATGAAATATATATATCACGTATAGGTCCAGATGTGTGTAACATATATTTATTGAGTATATTTTGTGCAGAAATATAGTAGCACATCATAAAAAACTCTTGTTTCTTTAATATATAAAATAGGCTATAAAAATGAAATTAAAATAGACTTTTTTTAGCTCATTTGAAAAAAAAAATTGATATAGAAGGAGTTAAAAACAATCAAAATGGTGTGTGAAATACACAAAAGACAGCGCCTCAGATCTCTCTATCTGAATTGAAGACCGACTTGAGTCTAATTGATTTACTGATGGTCTGTTCCAGACTAAGATAGCATAAGGTTATATACATGTATGTCTCTATAATGTCATCTCTCTCAGAGCATGAGTATTAACCACAGCTATTATGGTAATTCCAATACAAAAATAATGCAAGTTATGTCGTCGCCAGTTGCAAAGGTCACTGTCCGCCTTTATATAGTTCATCTTACTTTACAGCAATATTTCCTGTGATAAAACACACGGGACGCCATATGAGAACAATCCAGAACAATAGGTAACTAAAGTGAAAGAAACTTAGCCACATTGCTTGACAAACGTTCTATTGTTAAAAACTACACACAAGGCTAGAAACATGTATACGTGAACATATTTGAAAATTCTTAAGAACTGAAATGTCCATCTTACTAACTAAAAAAGTTCAGAAAAACTAGGTATATCTTTGAATACCAAAATTATAATTTGTTACGTTTTGCGTGAATCAGGTTGCTTTTCTAAACCTGTTTCATACGAGCCCTGTATATATATATATATATATATATATATAATATATATATACACATATATATATATATCTTTTTAAGCCGCCATAAACCAGGAAAGGTTTGGAAAGATCAAAATGTCAAGAACATTTTAAAATCATTAATCTGGAAAATTAAGGGCAATTTATGTATTTACCATTTTTTTGTCACAGAATCTGCAAGGCACGCAATCCTGTTCCCTTGGTAACAATAGTTTCAATATTAATGCAGAGGCAACCTTACTTGACGCTGATTAGATAAACATGTGTTTAAAATATGCTTTTAAAGAAGAACAAGGCGAGTACTGGGGGAAGCGTTTAGCCCAGATTTTTATCATTTACGAAACCATTGACTTCAAAATACAAAGATCCTTTTATACTTCATCCGATCCGTGCCATGTTCTTCTCACAGTCAAAACCATTCTTTTAATATCACATTTTGTGTTCGTCATATCTAGAATCTAACTAACTCTCTACTGAGCCTGAAGAAAGTGCAACAATGCAACTTAGAAACAATGAAACTGTCTACAATAACTACATATAATTTGTAAAGGCCCTAACAATAAGTATACTGGTTCATCCAGAGATCCAACTCAATTACTGTAGCCTTCGTAACCGTTTCTCTGGCATATGTATATGATTAAGGATTATGTTTGCCAAATTTGAACTAAATGCACCTGAGAATTAGTCCTTTCATTATGGTATTTACTCCGTTTGAAGTTTATATTAAACGAATAACATGTAAAAAGATATAAAAGCAAAACAGCTTTATATACAGTGGCAAAATATTTAAATATGAGTAAATTTGTTTGTTTTTGAATTTCGCGCAAAGTTACACGAGGGCTATCTGCGCTTGCCGTCCCTAATTTAGCAGTGGGGGAAGGTAGCTAGTCATCGCCACCCACCGCCAACTCTTGGGCTACTCTTTCACTAACGAATAATGGGATTGACCATAACATTATAACGCCCCCACGGCTGAAAGGGCGAGCATATTTGGTGGGACGGGGATTCGAACCCGCGACCCTCAGATTGCGAGTCGAAAGCCCTAACCACCTGGCCATGCCGGGCCAAAATATGAGTAAAAGAATACGGTTAAAAACATATATTTTTAAAAAAATGATCAGAGTTTTTGGTAAAACTACATTTAACCTGACTAAGGTCATCTGGCCGAAATGTTAATCATTTTTTTATTGTTCGTACTTTTTTCAACTAGTTAACGTGTTCAAGATTAGACAAAGTGTGTCTTTTAAACATGCTGTTGGTGTGAACATGCTTTGTAGTTACTATGAGAAAAAAGCTGTACACTGGACAGGTGAAGTGAAGAAAAAGTGTCATTGGCCACTATTCAGTTCTTCACATTATATAGCCATACAATAGCAGATATAATAAATGAATTCAGTATTCTGAAAATTGTTTAATTTCGAAGTGTAAGTTCAAGGGAGGTCCAGTTCAATCTACACTTTGATCAACGTGTGTTATTGAGTTATGTTAATTTCAGAGAATTCCACTCCTCATCAATAACCCTGAACACAAGTTAACCAAAGAGAGACAACAACAACAATATAAGCGTTATTTCATTCCGATCCTGGGGGACCGGCGGGCCGGTAGAGGGTTACGCCCTCTCGTCAGCCAAGGGACGAAACAAGAAACATGGGTAAAATGAATAATAGATGGGTAAGCGTGCAAGTCATCACAGGAGGTGGAAAATGGGGAAAAAGCGATATTTGCAGATGGAGGAGACAATCCGGAGAAATATGGGTGAACACTAACCTGTCTATATCATATAATGGAGATTGTGTAGGAACTGGCAACAGTTATATCAAGTATTATGAGTCAGGATAGATAAATGGTAGAAGAGGGGACATCGGCATCACGACGTGGTCTGGATTGTCAGCTGGGAGGGACATGACATAGAGGTTCAGTAGGTGATCAGC